GTATCACATAACAGTTAAGAATTTGCTTTGGTACTCATAACTTTAAAAATATCAAACTAAATACAACTATTTTTATTTTAAAATAAAAAGAAATATTCAAGAATTTTTTACTGATTTAAATAAGTAATATGACGATAACCTAATAAAAGAATTCAAAACTCTGGTAATAAAACTTAACAAGTGTACAGCAAAAAGATTATAATTAAATTGACATCATACAAAATGGCTGTAAAAAGTGACAGTGTTGCCAGTAGCAAAAAAAAAGCATTGATTTTATAAGTTAAAACTTTATTTTAAACAGAAGATTAACTTTCAATAATGAATTTTTACTCTTCATATGAAAAAAATGAGATTAAATTTCAAAATGATCAAAACTCATAGGTGGCCATAATAAATTATCACACAACTGTATATATAAAGTATAAATATTTTGCAAAAACACTTTTATTTGCAATAACTGCTTCATTGCATTGTGGCATGCTTGCAATTTATTTTTTATAGTTTCTGTCAACTCTGGGTTATTATGCTAGATCTTGATAATCTCTTCCATAAGATCTTGCTTATTAGTAAGATTTTTTTTTTCCAATCTCTTGCTTTACTATTTCCCAAATATTTTCTATGGGGTTAAGATCATGCGAGTTGTCTGGCTATAGCAATACATCAACTAAGCCATAACAGTTTTTATTGTGTGGCAAGTTGCACCATCTTGCATAAATATAAGATTTTTGACATTATTTTTAAATTTTTTTGTCAATTTTTGACATTTTTGGCTGGACATCAATCCCTCTTCTTTTAGCATTCTACAAATGGTCTGGTCTGACACAACAATTACAGCTTCATGGATAAGCTTAGTGACTTTTTTTCTCTTTTCCAGGCAGATATTTCTGATTATACTGTCCGCTCTTGGTGTTTTCTTGCGTTTAGAAGGTGGTCTCCTTGGACCAAACTCTTCCCCTGTATCAATTCTTTTTCTTACTTGCATTACGGTTTGGTAAGAAACCTTTTGCGTTGGGTGAGAAACCTTTGGTAAGAAACCTTTGTGCTATTTTTCATTAAGAATAATTTGTATTTTGTAAAAGACATGTATATCAATTTTTGTTACTATGATATTAATAACAATGTATAATGTAGGTTGTTGACCAATGGTTTATAATCAAAATTTAATATGGCTGACGGTAAAGGTAAAGAGAAATTTAAAGGAACAAACATTAGGTATTTACTTGTAAGTTAAGTGTAAAATTATATATTTTTAAAAATCACAGTTCGTTTTTTTAATGCTATTTTATTTTTAACTTTTTGATGTATTTGATGAAAATTACTCAGGCAATACCTTTTTTATAGATAGAGTTTTGTCAATTAAAGTGACTGCTACAGTTGCCGAAATAAGAAAAGGAATAATGAATTTATTAAAATACGCACTCGACAGATCAAATGGTGGTGGTCGGCGCGTAAAAGGCGATTAACCTGATGTATAACATTCATACTTTTTCCTAGTTGTTCTGGAACTATTGATAATAGTTATTATTGATAAATTGATAAATATAATACTGATAAATAAAACTTTTTTTTTTCAAACATTTTATTTTATTTGCATTGTATATAAAGTCCGTTGAAGCAATTTAGTTGTATCTGATTAATTTACGTGAAATATAATATCCTCTGCGCAAATTATTGCTTTTTTATTGTGTTAATTTATTGCAATTAAAGTTGAGAAAATTTTTTAGTTAATTGGATTTAACCAAAATAAAAAACAAAAATCAACGTTGAATTTACGTTGTTTCAACGTTGTTTTAACGTCTTATCAACTACATATCAAGCGAATATATCACCTATTCAAAGTTGAAATATGGTTGATATGTAGTCGATAAGACGTTAGATCAACGTTGAAACGACGTAATCATCGACGTTGTTTCAACGTCGTAGTTTTCGACGTCGGATTTTATTTCCAATTCAACCAAATTTCAACGTTGTTTCAACGCAGCATATGGTCGGTTTGCGACGTTGTTTCAACGTTATTTCAACGTCATTGTGCCGGCTGGGGAGTTTAGTGAAAAATAAAATCAAAAAATTATTTTTTACATAGAAGAAACAAACAACATATATACATATATATATATATATATATATATATATATATATATATATATATATATATATATATATATATATATATATATATATATATATATATATATATATATATATATATGTATATATATATATATATATATATATATATATATATATATATATATATATATATATATATATATATATATATATATATATATATGTATATATATATATATATATATATATATATATATATATATATATATATATATATATATATATATATATATATATATATATATATATATTTATTAGGGTCATACAAATTTTGTTCAGAGTTGCTAACCTGGCTATGGTCTAGAAAGTTGTTTTTTTTTTTTTTACTTTTATGGATTGAACAATGTCTTCCACCCGCAACTATAATTAAAAAAATTAGCAGGCCCTAATATTATTCAAAAAAAAAGTTTTTCACAATTATATGATGTAGGTACTCAAATAAAGCGAAATTTTATAAAAATTTGAAAAATAATAATTTTTCATATATAAATTATTATTTTAGATTTTATTGCATAATAACTATAGTTTTTTAACTAAAAGTGAAAAAGGTGCATTTTTACATAGTTTTTAATGACAATTTTATAAAATATAAAGTTAATAGTTAAAAAAAGTAGTCTGAAAATAGAAAACAATAATGAAAAAAGTACCACTTATAAAAATATCAAATATCAGTGAAAAAAGAACAAAAAAAAAAAAATTCTTAAAATTAAATTTATAATTTAATTAAGTTTAATTAAATTATTTTGGTACATTTTTTCATTAAATTATTTTTGTAAATTCTTATTTTAATGTTAAATTATTTATTGCTTTTAACAATTTTAGCTATTGTTATTTCTATTATAATTATCTTTATAATTAGTATTGTTATTTTCAACTTGGCTAATGTTTTTCCTATTTACTTAATTTCTATTTAAATAATTGTCGTATGTCATTTTAAGTTGTTATGTTTTATCAGTAATTTAACAGCTTTAAACTAACTTTGTTTATATAGCTATTGTGCTTATAAAAACAAGAAATTTTTATTTATTTTATTATAATCATTTTTGATATTATTCTTATCATTATTGTTAGCAATGTTTTTTTTTGTTGTATGTTGTGATTCTTATGATATTTAAAAATATTATTTTAATTATCATAAACATTATTATTTTATTCATAATATTTAGGTGTTTACATAATGTTAGTAATACTACTACTTGTAAACAACCTCTATAAAATTATAATTGCTTATAATTAACTATCAACTTAACGCTGCTGCTGTAATTTCTCGTTTGTGCAGGTTTGACACAGAGTTTTTTTAATAGATTTTTTAAACTAGTTCTTATAGAATTTTCTCTTATGTTTTTGACCATGCAATAAGGTATTCTTTATTATTGTTATTACAATCTGTTAATATCTGCTTAATCAGATATTAACAGATTGTAATAAATATATAATTAACTTATTATAATAACATATTGTAATAATATATAATCAACTAAGATATTAACAGATTGTAATAAATATATAATCAACTTATATCAAACTCAGTAGCTAAAAACAACAACCGCTCTAGAAAAAGAATAGAAAGTTGTATAAAAATTTTATTGAAAATTTTTTTTTTCAATTTTCTTTTTTTAATTATTAATTATCCTAGTTTATTTAACTTAAAACGTTACACTTTTATTTCTTTTTTTTTAAATTATTACTTTTCCTCAGTAGATAAGCTTATCTAATGATTAAAAAAAAACAAACTGTAAAATAAATAAATTAAATTGTTAGTTCATAATTTTAGCTTTTGCCGCGGATGAGGCGTTTTCTGATATGTGATATTATTTCTGATATAGGCTTGATATGTGTTATTTATTAAGTGTTAATATGCTATTTAAGGTTTTATGGGTTTATATTTTGTAAGTGTTTATGTGTCATAAATGTGTAGATATCTGTTATATACGAAGTTTTTCTATGTAAATGCTGTTAGTAGGTAAAATATGTACAATAAACGTTTGATAACCCTTAATAACTTGAACTAATTTTAAAGTTCCGGTTGAGCCTTCATTTATGGATTACGCTCCCCTGTAATTCTAATATTCTCTAACAAGCTAATTTTTTGTCCCTTGTAGGCTTGAGTTATTGAGAATTTATGCCAAATGTTAATTTTGTGATATTGCTGTTGTGATATTTTTTTGTTGATAGACAACCTCAAATACCGTCCCATTGGTGTCAATCGTTAAAAATGATCATTGGGTCATTTCATTACTGAAACTGACTAAATATAATCATTTACTAAAAGCCAAGGATTCAGTTTTCATATAAAAACATAAAGGTTTATCTTATTGTTATTATTTATTTTTAGCATTTCTTTTTTAAAAAGAGTTTATAATCCAAACTTGCAACAATAAATCTTTAAACTTTCTTAATAGAAAAACAAACTCTCACCAAGTAAGTTTCTTGTTTGTTATCTATTTAGTCACATTTTTGAGTTTTCAAAAAAATAAAGTACATAACAAATTAATGTATAATAAATGTTTTCAATAATTTTGTTCTCATTTTGACTGATGACTAATTTTAAAATAGTTTTTAAGTATAGTAAATTAATTAATATCCAAAAATCAAGAATTGCAAATCATATAATTTTCTATATTTTATTCAAATTTATTGAAGTATAGAGATCAAAATAGAAACAAGTTTAAATATAGTCAGGTGTCGAGCAGACTTACCATGACCCGCATCGTACGGGCCCTGATAGCTATAGTATATTTTAACTAATTATATTTTCAGCTTTTCTTTACTTACTACTAAATTAGAATTTTATCAAACAATAGAAAGGTCTCCTTAATGATAGATTTAAAATCTTATTTGAAAATTAGAAAATAAATAGTAATACTTACTATATACTTAAATTGAGCAGAGTTTAGTTTTATGAATCCATTTTGAACACGTTCAGAAGTTAAGGTAACAAATAACGGAAAGAAATATTCTATTGTTACATTAAAGCCGTTCCCGCTTAATTGAAGAGATATGTTTACAATATCTCTATAAAGAAAAAATGTTGATTGCAATAACAAAATTAAAAAAAAAAAAAAAAAAAAAAATAATAAAAAGATTATGATAATACATAATACAATGTAAAAAATAAGTATTATAATATCAAATGAAATAACTGAATATTATATTTTGCTTGAAAATATATATATTTTTTCTGATAAAAAGAAAATGTTCAAAGCTTGTAATGGGCTTTATAAACTTTTCCTGAAAAATATTCAATAAAAAGTATCCATCAAGCAAATATCTTTTGTTTAAAGGCTTTTGCAAATTTCATCTGACAAAAATTCAACAACAAATATTTAACAAACATCCTTTATTTAAAAGTTTTTAAAAATTTAGCAAAACACACTTCAACCATTATCTTGTTATCAATAAAATTGTCCTTTTTTTTTTCAAACAAAATATGGTTATGTTATTATTATTAATCAAAATAATAAATGCTATAATAAATACTAATAAATACTTAAACTGTTATATACAGATTATAAAATAATATTAGTTACGAATAATAAACAAAAATAATAACCGTTATAAAATTTAAAACGAGAAATAATAATTAAGATAATAACAATAACAAAGATAATAATAATAATAATAATCATAAAAAGAAAAAAATAATAATAATAAAAGTCATAATGTTATTACCAAAGTATAATTAATAAATGTTTTTAAAAGAAAATATTATTAGTAACTTTTTCCACTTCAATATTATTTTTCCCGAAAATGCTAAACAACAATATTTATTTATACATATTTCTACACAGCTTTAACTTCTTTTTAAAAAATGAAACCATTGTCAGGGAAATTATAGACATAAATGATATTTCTAGCAGATTTATGAGCTTAATGTATTCTGTCTGTCTGAACATAGCTTCTGTTGAATTTTTTAAATACAGACTTTGCATTAGTATTCATTATTTAGTATTAATAAAATAAACAGGCTTTATACAAATTTTTTTATCTAATGCAAGATAAAGATATAAAGAAGTTAAGATTATAGGAGGGACAATAGATTAAAGTTTAAAAAACATCAAATCTTAGAAGAAAGTGGTCAGGCGAGACAAGTTGCAATCAATATCAGTAATAGTAATGGATAACCAAGGCATTCTACATACATATTAACATTAATATATGAACTACATAAGATGTAATCAATTATAACTTTAAATAACTCATGGTTATAAAAAAACTGTAAAAGACCAAGTGTTATTGGCGTAAAAAAATCATATGTTGAAGTTTGTAAACTTTAATACTTAAAATAGTAACACAAATTCTAATACAGCTATTCTTAAAATATCAACATTAAAGAGCATGTTTATGACTTGTGGGAGTTTACAAACATCTCTGGCATAGAAAGATACTTTAAAGGAAAAACGAAACTTGCTAGTGACAATTTTTACAAGTCGATTTAGTAATGAAACTATATAAAACTATACCATGTAAACAAATTCTTCAGCTGAAGCAGTAAGTAGTAAAAGCAAAACAAAAAACCGTTATAAAGTTTATAAAAACATTGTTGAATCAAAAAGATGTAATTTTACCTGCAACCATAAACACTAAGGAAGTTCTTGTACCTACGGCCACCCCATTTTTTATTTGAAAACTATAAAGTTCTAATTAATGTTTTTCAGTCAGGTAGTTATTTTTAAAAATACTTCTTTTTTAATTCTATTTTGATTCTCAAAAAATATTGCTCTAGCAAGTTATAATCAAAAAACGATTTTTGATAACCTAAAGTAAGTTTTTGCTGCTTGAATCTTGGATTACTTTACAATCCTAGAGAAAATGCTTTTCTGTAAGTTCTTGTATATTATATTATTTGTTACTTAAGTACTAAATGCGATCTTTAATAAGTTTCCTCTCAATCAGATTTTGTTAATGGATAACATTTTTCATAAGGCTATCATTTCTTATACCTAGGGCCATATAGTTTCCTTGTACATAGACAATATGTGCAAATAGAATTTGCTCGATAACGAGGTAGACTGTTGAATTTTGATTAGTGCAGGACTTTTTTTTTCTTTCGTTGTTTTGGGACTACCATTTTACGCATTGACTTATTTGTCAGTTTTGCTCATAACTAATAACCAATTTTGTTTGGAAGATTGTTAATGTAAATTTGAAATAGTATAGAGCCAAGGATAGAACCTTAAGGAACCTCTGAAGTTAGAGAATATCAAGAAAAGTGCTGTCCATCAAAGACAAAACTTATACTACGATTGGAAAGGAAGGATTCAATAATCTTAAAGACGTTACCCGATAAACGTAAGAAGAAAGCTTTTGGAGAAGACCAGCATGCCAAACCTTTTTAAACTTAAGAAAGGTCAAGAGCAATTGTCTTAACCTCTACAGCTCTATCTAATGTACAATAAAACCTATGGGTTATTACTCTTAGCAAATCAGCGTTAGAACAAAAAGATCAAAATTCATATTGATAATCAGACAGTAAGTTATTAGATTCAAGATGAGAGATTAACTGTTTGTTAACTAAAGGTTCAAAAAACTTGCTTATGGTAGGTAGAAGACTAATGGGAAGGTTGTTAGATGAGTCAGATTGCTCTCCAGAAATTTTGAAAATAGGGATGCACGAAATGCAAAAAAACAAAACTCCGATAAGTTTTGAGAGTATATACGATAGCTACAGAGAACACTTCTGCAAGACTACAACAGGTATGTTGTCCGGACCACAGGATGTTGAAGAGTCTAAACAGAAAATCACTTTAGATACAGAAACTAGAGTTTTGATGATGAAGAAGAATGAGATGATAGTTTAAGAGAAATCAAACCGTGATCACCTAAAGGAGAATGTGGAGAAACTGAGGAGTTATTTGGATCAGGAACAAAACATAAGTTGAGTAGAGAATGTAAATGATTCAAATGTCTGGAAAGTGAGTTGGAAAGTTGACTATTTGTCTAAGATATTACTTGTGTAGTATTTGTATTAAGGAAAGCAAAAGTTGCAAGACTTATCACCTGCAGAGTCACTGACACTAGTATCAAGCCATATATATTTTATATATATATATATATCTATATATATATATATATATATATATATATATATATATATATATATATATATATATATATATATATATATATATACATATACATGTAGTGCTCGAAGTGAGGCGGGATAGGGTGGGATGCCATCCCGTTACCTTTTTAAATTTTAAAAACCATCCCACCAGTGGCGGATTTAGTATAGGGCGTGGGGGAGGGGCAAGCTGCCCCCCCACGCTCCCCTAGAACGGTCTAACGGCGCCCCCTAAAACAATTAAAATATATATATATATATATATATTTATATATATATATATATATATATATATATATATATATATATATATATATATATATATATATATATATATATATATATAAGATTAAATTACTGAAGGCAACCCCGGTCGCCCCTATTTATTGACTTGGCCCCCCCGCGACGCTAAACCTCAATCCACCACTGCATCCCACTACCTTTTTTAATGCATATATTGGGATGGAATGCCATCCCGCTACATAATAAATTAATGGAAATTTTATTTTATTTTCCTCCTATAAATAAACTTGTAAAAACAATTTTAAAGTTTGTGGCAATATGCAAATTTCAATGAACTAAAGTCTCAGCTCTTATTTAAAAATTTGCGGTAGAATATCAAATACTAAACCGATAATTATAAAACATTGCGTCTTTTCTTTTGTATTTTAAATAAAAAGTTACCAAGCAACAAAAAGTGACATTGTTTTTTTTTCTTCGTTAAAGTATCATTAGAGTTTTTTTTGGTGAAATAAAATGATTCTAAGAAAAAATCCCCTCGGAAAGTATCCCCAACAAAAATTTTTTTTTTTTTTTACATAAAAATTAACAATATTCAGTTATGTTTATTTCTTTATTTATTTTAAATATTTATATTTGCATGGGTGATACTGCACAGTGTTCTATTGCTTATCTGGCAGCACTTTATTCAAAAATCGAAAGTTAATGAAAATAAAATCTATGCATGTATTTCAGTTCCTAAATGTTTAAAGCATCTAAAAATGATAATAAAAAAATATACCCCATTTCTTCTCAATTAACTAAATAGATTCTTGTAGAATAATGTTTTTTCTATATGATGTATAAAATTCATCGGCAAATATTTGCAATTTTAGACTTTATGTCTGTTTTTTCACAGAAAGTGACGAAATTACAAATGAAAAATTATACAATTTGTGGAGAACTACTAAATCAACTGAGCGAATTATTATAACTTGTGAATATTTTGAAAAGTTGGAAAGTGGATAGTATTTCTGATTTAGAAAAACGGAATCTGAAAAATCAGATTTCATTTTTTTCTATTAAATTAAAGCAGAAATGGGAGCAAGCTCGTCGCAGCCATGCATGTTTTGTTCGGAAATATGCGAGTTGGCTGAAACTGGTTTTTGAAAGAAAATATTTTTCAGAAGAAGATCTAGAAGCTAGTAGTTCTTCTGTTGCTGGCCGTCCATCGAAAGCTTTTGAGGAATGCTCCTTTAAAGTGCAGAAGCGCAAAGCTAAAAAATTACTTGAAGATAAAACTCCCGAGGAAATTTTGCTAGCCGCCGAATTAGCAGTTAGAGCTGAAGAAAAACGAGATACGGCAAATTTATTTAAAGAATTATCAAGCGCCTCGCCGGACGTGCAACAAAAATTAAGAAAGCCCGAATAAGTATTGAAAATAAGATGGAACCTATGCAACCCGAAAGGGCACCTGCAGTGATAATTAATAACAAATTATCTACCCATCAATATAAAAATATAAGAAAAGAAGCTAATGCATCAGGGCATTGAATGTATCCATCATACACCAAGGTTTTGAAAGAAAAATATAAATGTTACCCCCCGGAAAATGGTATCAGTGTGACCGATATAAGTGCCGAAGTTACACTCCAAGATTTACTGGATTTGACGGCAAGGCGATTTTGCCTATTACAGAAAGAATTAATACTTTCTGTTGCTGAGAAAAACG